GTCCAGAGCTGCTCTGGCATGTGCCCTAGCATTATCTTATTAAAATATTACAGTTTTAATATCAGTCAAACTAAGTTTGCCAGGCTCATTTTTTAAGATGATTTCTTCTAAGAGTTCCAGACATTTTTAGTTGAAAAAGTTTTTGAATGGGACAAAGTAACTGTTAGGTCAAATTCTATAGCTTATTACAAACAAAATTAAATACTTACTGTTTTGAGATCTTAAACATTACTAAAGATGCTCCAACTGTAAAAGTGTTTTAATATTGACCTTAAAGCTGGTATAGGTATATTCTTGTTACATAACTGCTACAGCTGATGATAAAGCTGCCGGCCTTTCCCTACCTGGCACACCCCAGATGCCTTGGACTACAACTTGCATCATAATGGTTAATTTTCAAGGATACTGGGAGCTGTAGTCCCAAAATCCATCTGGATCCCACCAAGTTGGAGAACGGTAATTTATGATTTCAAGGGAGAGCTAGTTCTAATCAAGTACCATCAGTATACTACGTCATCCCCCCCATAACCCTACTTTTGGTTAGGGCAAGAATGTGGTATTTTTATAAAAGACAGGGAAGAGGTTATTGTAGCCGAAAAACTACACATGACTCTTCAGGTAACTTTTTCTTAAAGGAAAAAAGACCCATGATAAACAACCACATTCTACAGAGCAGTACTACAACTAATGTGTTAGGTCAAACGAGGGAACAGTGACCAAATTGTAGTACTGTATTGGGAATGTTTGATTTCTTCTCAGAGACAATAAAAACACTGGAATTTATACTGTGTACCATTTGTGCAATTAAGGAAAGGGGAAGAATAACCCAGAGATCTCTATAAGGCCATTAGATTCCAAGTGTCAGTAGAGCAAAAGATCTGGGTGGCCAGTAACTTATATTCAACACTAGCCAGAAAAAGACTATCCCCCCCCCCCCAACACACACACACACAAGCATTACAGAGAACATGGGAGGTTTGCATCATTACAAACAAGTACTTGTGCTTCAGACTTAAATATGCTTACAGTATGGTTATTTACTCCCAAATTATCACCCACAGATTTCAAATTAATTTTGTTCATAATATACAATTTCAATTTAGGACATGAAATAGGTATCAACACTACTCAAATAAAAGCACATTCTTCCTTACAGCATAAAGCTGTAAAGATGATAGAAACTGCAATCTAAATTCTAGAAGGCTGCACATTCAGGTTCTTGTCTTATTCAAATCTTCCTGTGTTACTCTGTTTCCATGAAGTTGATGAAACAAGTTAGTCATATTTAACTCAATTCCAACTGATGTTAATGAGACTAAACCATGACTAAATTAGGCAGAATCAAACTGTACCGAGTTCACACAACAGAACAAGCAACAGTGATCTTTTATGCAAGTTGGTCTGTCCAAACCCCACTGGGGTATTTCTGCAAGGTGTGTTTGCTTTTGAGAAACCACAAACAGAAGCAACAGTTTGGTCTCTTGGTACAATTGCCTGTTGTGTCATCAGAATTAGAAAACGCAACATGTCATGGCACTGAGGCCAGAAACAGAGACTCCATGGCAGCTCTTGCCAAATAGCTAATGAGATGGTGCCAATGAGTTGCCATCTGGGACAACCGTCAGATGTCCCCTCTCCTCTTGCCCTGGTGATCTTGTTTGGGACACTGCTCAGCTGATTCCTGTGCTGTCGCTGCTGTACTTACAACAAAAATGGCAGTGCTGTGGTTTATCAAGTCCTATTGTACCTTCAGCCCTTGTATTAAAAAATCTAGCAATTCTAGTCTACAAATGTATTACAGAAAAAGACTGCTTTGAATTATCAGCGCTGGATGTTAGAATTACAAGCATTCTATAACAGTATTCTGTGCAATACATCATGTCACAATTCAGCTCTCAATAACTAAGTTTTTCTTATAACTATTCGGCTGGCTTTTCTACTAGCCTGATTCAGTTTGTACTATTTGTTCATCCAATTTGCTAACTATCTGCTTAGGGGGTAAAGAACTCCTGCTACACTCTAGTAAATCTACTAATGATTAAATCATCAAAATCTACTTTCTTGTATCTTTAAAAAGGAGATACTGAATTGTCTTCTGCTGAATCGTGCCTTTCTTCCTCATGAGTCACTATGAATTTACAGAAATTATTAGCTAAGAGATAAAGGCTAACTTCATATATAATTATGAACCATATTTTCCATTATAATACCATGATAAAAAGTTTATAACATGAAATAATTAATGTAATTTAGAAATATAATGTACATAGTAGCAGAACAAATCCTACACTGATGCTTTATTGCAAAAGTTGGGCTACAGAAACTTAAGGCATGATTTTCACAGGAATACTGGTCATATATAAATATGCAGATAAATTGCAGTTGAAACAAAATTCAAGTTATCAGATATCCAGGCAATCAACCACAGCTCTTTTTTGCCACTGAAGTTCTGAAACAATTTTCCACTCTTGGCAAATCCCTTGACCCACCCTACGAATTAGAACATTAAAAATAAGAGCTATAAGGTAGTTAAGTTACAAGGAAGCTGGAAAAATTGCTCATTGTGCCAAATTAATATCATTGGCATCCAGACTATAGTAGATTAACTTATTCAGCTTTATTGTGGTACACAATAATCTGTGTCAACAGAAAGCAGTTCTAATGGACAGTACACCATATTAGGACATTTGAATGTGGCTTCTCTTTGCAGCATGCAAGCCAGCCTGACAACAAATACTAGGCATGTTCTTAAAGAGCATTAGTTTACTCCAGCAGTAAATCCACTTCCCAATGGTCAGTACAGCTGGGTCTCTCTTGCGGTGATGGCAGTGTTGTTAATTTAGAAATTAAACATCTCTCTGCAAAATGATGGTTGTTTCACTATTATTAGCTTTCAAGGGCTACTCTAGTCAACCTTCAATAACTCATTCCAGCAACTGCAGAGCAAGAGAACTATTGAGAGATCTGCCACTTGCCCCCCCTGCTCAAATGTCACTTAGTAGCAGAAGACATTTCATCAGGCTGCCCAAACTGTTTCCATGCCAGCTAGGAACTAGTGCATGCACTTGTTTCCTCCTCCTTCCCATTCTTTATCTTTCCTTGGAGACAGCAAGCCTGAGGGCACGGAGTGTCATACTAGTCTCTGTAAGCTGCAGTGGGAGTCCTTTTGGCTAAAATAAAGGGTAAAATGCTTAAAATGTCTGTTAGTTACTAACATGACTGCTAGTAACTGAACCTACCCTCAGTTTCAGAACCCAATTTTTAATAGGTGATACTGTCTAGGAATCTTTTGTATTCTTCCTTCCTCAACCTGGTAGTCTCTAGTTATTTCAGACTGAGTCAGCAGGCTTCGTTAGGAACTATGTTGTAATCCTAAAAATCTGGAGGATAACAGGTTGGTAAAAGCTGTGATATATCCTTATAGTACCCCTTGGAAGTTCTTGTGCCCTCCAAAAATTGTAGTATATTGCGTATTTCATGTTAAAATATATTTGTATCTTGCCTTTTTTCCCCTATGAGGAACCCAAAGCAGCCTACATTGTTTTAATCTTATCCTCACAAAAATGTGAAGGCTGTGAAGACATTAAGAGTCATTGACTGGCCCAGAGTCACCCAGTGAGTTCCATGGCCAAGTGGAGACTAAAAGTTGGGTCTCCCAAGTCCTAGTCCAGCACTCTAATCACTGAACCCCACAGGCTTAGTCTTGGAAAAAAATGACATTATGTACAAAACTCCATGCTTTAGTTTACTTGGGGCCACCGCTGCCATACAGGTTTAAGATTAAAACTGGCTTCATTTTATTGCTGGTTTATCATCCTTATTCAGCATCTGTTGTCAAAGTTGTGGACATAAAGTAGGTCAGACTTCATTTTCACTTGGACAAATGTGTGTGAACAATGTGATCTTGGCATTCCTCCAAGCTTCTCAGATGTTTGTACTTATTATACCTTACAGACAAGAAGAAAATTAATGAGTGCAACACAAAACTGCCTACAAAGCTTAAGCAGTGTGGAAAACACTGAAGATCTTAGTTCTCACTTTACATCAAATTCTAGTTGGGGAGGCAGAAACTATTGTGGCATATTGTGGCAAATGATAGATAGAACTTCAGTTATCAGAAAGTTAAGGCAATCCATTACTTGCCTAAATAATTTTTATGCAAAATCTGCCCCTGCCACAAGAGATCTGGTACAGTTAAACAACTTAAGATTCTGTGTTGCATGCTTTCAAAAAAGAAACAATTGTATATGAAAATCTTAGAACATAGAAATGTTCTACATTTAAAATGTAGACCATCCAAGATCAATACTCAGAGGAAGCCGAATAGGGATTCAAACTATAACACAATCTATTTGAAACCAAGTTTAATTGTACTTTAAGTCATCTCTCATACTATTTTATGCCTTGCCCCCTCTACAAGAGTGAAAATCCTGAGTTAAGGTGCTGTAGCACTAGTGACAAGCAACTGTGTTACCTACCCACCACACACCAGGCATTGGAGTATTACAGTTAAAGGAGTGAATCCATAGAAAATTTACTGGCATCTTGTGTGATAAGTTTGGCTCATTCATGGATACTTTTAAGAATGTAAGTAGAGCCAAAACAAACAAACAACCCCTACAGCAGCAGTCAAAGTTTAAGGAAGTTTCAAAGCTCTAACATCCTTAGCTGCAACAAGTGAAGGTACTAAATGAGAACAAAGGTTTGAATACTTCAGAAACCATACTGCATTAGTCTTTTGTAACAGGAAGGAAAGATTGATAAAATCAATTACTCTTTGTTCAGAACATCAAGTTCAGATGAAACCCCCGATTTCTAAACCACAAAATAATGTGCCACTCATAACCCCAGTCATAATGCTAAAGTGTTGCTTAAGCACATTATAACCAGTGTTCTCCACTCTCCAAGTCCACAGACTGAGCTCAACTTAAACTTTCAATTATCATCCCTTGTTGGAGATGGCCACCAGGAATCCTTATTAGCAGATTGCTTGTCTCAGCTGTTTTAAAGAGTAACATTTTATTAACAGAATATGTAATTCACAAACAAGATGCAGATTGAGAGTACCATCTGAATTACCATACAGTCATTAAAATATGTAGTCTTGATCATCCCTTCATTTAATAATCTGCAACTAAGAAAAATGTCAAGTGTATATGCCACACATACCAAGTTAGCCCTTCTATAAAGACCATCACCAAAAGGGAATCAAAGTAATGCCAGCACAGGATTTAGACTTCAAATTTAGTGGCAAAATGGTTTGCAGGTATTCTAATTACTGGAATACCAGTAATGGATCCCAGGAGAACATACATTAAATAGCTTCTGATGCAAATAACAGAAAATGATGGCTGAATTTCACATCTTGAATTGTTTTTCTACCAATTTATAGTGAGGTTTAAAGGAACATGTTTTTCTTCAAAAGTGTTGGATTATCATTGTTTCCAGTCTTCTCTACTTTCAGTTGTTGAATTTTAGAATACAATAGTATCTGCATTAAGACAACCCATGTTAAGCTGAGACAGTCAATATTAAATGGTTTAAATTATGTAATCAATGCTGAAATCTTAGTGGGTTTAAACAGCAAGGAAATACTAAAATGGAATTAAGTTTCCAGTTGGGATGGCCTTTACAGCAAAATGCAGAGTCAATTCCACTGCTAGGCATAACTCTAAGAAGGCAAATTTAACTCTATATAGAAACCACCAAAGTTCAAGAGGAAAGACACTACAAAACTCAAAAATAAAACTTAATTTATGTTTTTACTGTAATTTTGGAACTTATATTGTATACAATCAAACATGGGAACAGAAGAGCACAGTTCTGCTTTACAGTTGGTAAATTGTTGCCCAAAGACACCTTCATGAAAGTCAAACCTAATATTCAGCTTTACTGAAGAAATTAAATGTATTTTTCTAGCCATGATTGGGTTTCCAAATAGTGGGAGAGTTCCTACAATTATATTGATGAGGCCCAATTTATATTAATTTGAACTAGCATTCAAAAGTTACTCATCTGGCTATGATTACCAGATCTGTTGACTAAAGCCAAACTACTAACAATTTATTACAGATGTACAGTTTATATTGCAATCAAAAAGTGGCTGACAAATGAGTAAGCACACAATCCATATTTCTCAAGTGCTGCTGTTGTAGAAATCCCTTATTAGACACATATGCAAGAATATTTGGGATCTCAGACTTGTGTGCGTTTTATGTCAATCAGCAGCAGCAATGTAAAAAAAAATACTGCTCAAAGCAGTTACACCTGCTTGTGCCTTTAGAATACTAGCTACACAAAAATGCGACTCAGTGCTTCATGAGAGTTTCAACATGCGTACTAAGAAGTACCTGCATACATGTAGCAAAGAATGAGATCAATGACTCTGGGTAACAGGAAAATGCAAAGACCTTATATGACAGGATACCATCAGAATAGGGTAGGAAACAACTTGTATTTCTGACCAGGAGCCAGAAAAAAGGCTTGCAGATGACACATCAGCATTATGAAGAGACTCTAAAGGCACATTTCAGATAGCACAATGATTCTTAATTAAAAGTTTCTTTAAAAAGAACAAGACGTGCATTTTTAGCAATGTTCTCTGAACACAACTAAATGCTTAGTCCAAATGTTTCATAGTATTCTCCTCAGTCAATATGGCTTCTCAGCACAACTCCCAATTCAAGCAAAAACGAGAGGGAGGGGTTGGATGGCTGGGTTAGTAAAGGCTGATAGTATTAACACTATTTACTCGTCGGATCCCACTGATCTCTTCTGTGACCTCTTGCGGGGCAACCGTCTTGGTGAAGCTTTGTCTGAAGGAAAAAAGAACATGAGTTAGTTAAGATGAGTTAACTGAAATTCGTGAGGAGGAAGATTGCTCTGTTTCAAGGAACCATCATGCAAGAGGTGGATTTGAAAGCATCGTATGTACTTTCTTTCGTTATGAGCGTGCAAAAAGTGGGCTAGTTCATACACAGCCCTGGAACAGAAGATCAAAGTCTTCTACTTGAGTAGTCCTTTGGAAACTAGATGGCCTTGAGCAAGATGCTTTTGCTCAATTTCTTTCCTAAATGTAAAATACGAGTGGCACCACACCAGAGTACATAACTATTATCAGGATGAAGGAAACATGTCCCATATCTCCTGGGTAGCTAGATCTAAAAATACTCATGTCCACATACTTGAAGTTTACTACCCATAGAATTATAATTTGTACTGAATAGGAAGGATATCAGGTATTAAGTTAGTAATTCCAAAAGGGTAGCCACATTAGTCATTTGTAGCTAATACAAACACTGTGGTATCATAAACTATTACATATTTTTGCAAAAGCCAACTAAATCTGGTTTTAGTTAGTATAAGACCTAGAAATCTAAATACAGGTAAAAGCTGGTTATTTCAGTACAAAATAACCAAGTTGACCTGACATAGCACAGTTCATTAGAAGTGATTTAACTCACAACAAGCCACAAGTGCCCATGTTGCAAATGTACCCCCACTCAGTGGTTGACATATTACATGATTTTGACAAGTGTGCGTTATATGAGAGTTAAACAATGCCCACCATAACTTACAGAACACAATGATCCTCAAGCAGGGCATACTTATTTAAAATGGCAGCTTCATGCACCTTGCAGTCTCCCTGTGGGTTAAATAACCCACAGTGGACTATTATGTTACGCAAACAAATCCAGAGTGTTTATTGAATTCCCCAAAACTGTTTTTGATCCTGGTTGACCTCCTAGGTATGTCAATTCACAATAGTGTAGTATTAGCATTGGCAGAATTCCCCTGTGTGGTCAAGACTACAAGAACCCTAAACCTGGTCTCAAATACTTGGCCCAAAATACCCTAAACCTCCCTTGACTCTCAACCACCTCCCTCCTGATTTGCATAGTCCCTCCTATTTCTGTGCCCTGAGTTTTGTCTGAGCCTCCATTCTTTCTCTGGGCTCCTGCTTTTCAGGCCTGTGCCTGCATTATCCCATGTCCTTTAGCTACTTTTTCTCTTGACCAGTGTGCCTATACCTGTTTTATCCCCTTCTCACATCCACACAGCAGGAAGCCCTTTCTGACCTTAAGGTCTACTGAGTTTCTTCATAGTTCCTTCTGATAGATTTGTCCTTGCTACAAATTCCTCTATACTTTTAAGTCTCATTTATCAACATTTAATTCAGGTTTCTATTCTAGTTCCTAGTCTGGCCCTGTAAGAGTTTTTAATCTTTGTCAAACTTTCCCCTCACAGAAGCTGTTCAGCACCATGAATAACTGAATATTCTACAGTTCATCAACCAATTTAACCAATGTCAAGATGCTCCACCACTGCTATTTGTCCATGTACCAGCCATAAATAAGTGTGAGCACCAAATCCAAGAACTGATCTAAAAGCCTTTTAAAAAGTCCTCCAAGTACTCAATCATGATCACGAGTCACCAAACAGCTGTTCTGCATCAAGAGTATGATTTGTTTCAATATGAAACCAGTGATGCAAGACAATAATTTAAATGTTATAGCATACATTCTGAAAATTGCCAGATTTGCCTAGGTTTTAGTAACAAAGTTAAATTGTTCATATTTACTTCAGGAAATTAGGTCTGTAACAAGCTTAGAACCAGCCTCAGAAAAGTTATTTTGTGTTCTAAACTGTGCTAATCTAACATCTTGATGCTCTTAAGGATGTATGAAACAGATCACATCTCAGGTTTTTTGTCCCATAAACAGTAAGGGCAGATATCACTAGGTTAAGTGACCTTAGTCAATCAGGGGTTTATTTTTAATGTACATAAAGGAAAAATGGGCAAGTGTAGGAAGACTTGTATTTCTCTGGGGAAATTAACATCATTTGGCTTATATTTCTGAACTTAATGGATTAGAAGCGTAAGAGTGGAGGCTAAATTGGGTAGAAACTTATGCTTGTGAATGTAAAATACAGTTGTAGCCAAAATGCAGATCCTGTGAACTGAAGCATAGCTTCAAGTCAGAACTACAAGCCTATGCATTTTTATAGCTTTTAGATTATTAAGACACCTGCTAGTTTGGGATCCTTGTCCATCTCAGAGTGTACACATCCTTCTGCTTAAAATCAACAAAAGCTACAATCCTGAGTTCAGAGGGGAATCTTACACATATCTACTCATAAGCTCACTCAACTGAACTCAATAGGATTTATGAAGCATTCATATGACTCTTGCCAGCATTAAGCCACTTAAATCCAACTGACTTCAGTGAAATTTAAGCACTCTCACTGCTAAAAAAAACAAACGACTTACTTTTAACATGTTGAATTAAAGCTTTTGCTGGGTAATTAAAGCTTTTGCTGGGTTATTAAGGACTCTGGCTATTTAGCTATTCATGGTGTTTCTTCCTTTCTTACCACAATGCACAATCTTGGGCAAAAACAGTGTGATTAGAAAATGTCCTATTTTTTTCCTTTGTTCAAACATTTTAATATTGCCCAATAGAAATTTCCTAGTGGTCCTCAGGTATTACTGCTTTATTGATCAAACCTGAATTCATCAAAGAGCACTTTCACTTTCTATTCATACATTAATACCTTGGTATTTCCCTGCCCGATAGGTAGAATTCTGCCTTAGGTGTGATTTAGTTAAACCAGTTACACCTATCCAAAACTGGATGGATGGCAAGGTGGCAAAGTATGCCATTTCTTAAATAGTTATTCTGAATGGAGCAGAGCAGTCAATCCTATATAAATAGCATAATAAAATCACTAAAATGGACTGCTGAAGGTATATCTGAACATTTAATGTTTTTAAAGTGATTGAATAGTGTTAAATTTGTGCTTGAACATCAATCTCCTTGTAACAGTGAATCTAGCAAGCAGAATTAAAGTGGGATTTAATCTGTGGGATTTGATCTGGACTTTTCACTTGGAGGTATTGGTGAATTCTTCAAAATCTTGATGTTATTTTACCACCACATGCTGTTATTTGAAGTACACCAGCCACAAGACAGGAATGAGTTCAATGCAGAAGAACCTAGTTAGTGCACAGATCTCTATTTTAGAAGCCTCAGCCCAATAAAGTTTGTCTCACCTCTTCTACTTTGCACTGAAGCCACAGGAAAAACAAAACAGAAGAAACAGCAAAAATGTTAGAAAAGTCCACAAGCATTTAACAGATCTAATGACATATTTGGACTTATTTTTGATTCAGAAGCCAGAAAAAATTAGAACCTGCAACTCCCTCAATCCCCAGCAAACAAAGAAGGACACTGCATCACTAGCCTGAAAAATACAGTTCTACCTTAAGTGAATCCATCAACAACCCAATCCATTTAGAAAGAAAATATGGAAGACAGTTACTTATTACAACATTCACTTTTCTAAACAGGCACAATACCTACAAGAAATTCCCTGCTGGATGACTGATCTTGGTACTTACTAATTTGGTTTAAAGTTTCTTGAGGAATCCAACTCATGTCAACATCATTCTGATTGGATGTTCCCATCTCTACCTTTTGAACAGGTCTTTTTCTCTGAAGGCATTAGAGACAACATTTAGTAAGAAAAATGGCTCCCACTAAACTACTAAATGAGAATATAATTAAAATAATTATAGACCAGTCAGTCTGACATCAATCCCTGGGAAAATTCTGGAACAGATTATAAAGCAGTCAGTCTGCAAACATGCTGAAAGCAATGCAGTGATTACTGGAAGCCAGCTTGGATTTCTCAAGAACAAATCCTGTGAGGCTTATCTGATTTCATTTCTTTGATTGGTACCCTCTCTGATAGACTGTGGGAATGTTGTGGACATGATCTATCTTGACTTCAGCGAAGTGCTCCATGATTTCCTGATTAGCACAGGAGCAAAAAGTGGGCTAGATGGAACTCTGATCAAGTGCTCTTCAACATTTTTATTAATGATTTGGATGAGGAATTACAGGGAACACTTATCAGTTTTACAGATGACACAGAACTGTGTGGAATACCTAATACCCTGGAAGACAGCAACAAAATTAAAGGTGATCTTAATAGGTTGGAATGCTGGGCTGAAAACAACAGAATGAAATTCAATAGGGACAAATGTCAAGTTGTGCATCTAGGAAAAAGAAACCAAATGCACTGTTACACAAGATGGGGAACACTTGGCTCAACAATACTGTGAGTGAGAAGGATTTTGGAATTGTTGTATATCACAAGCTGAATATGACTCAACAAGGTGATGTGTCTGCAAAAAGGGCAAATGCTATTTTAGGTTGCATTGACAGAAGTATCACTTCCAAATTCTGTGAAGTACTGGCTCCCTTATACTTAGCACTGGCTAGTCCTCATCTGGAGGACTATGTTCAGTTCTGGGCACCAGAGTTTCAAAAAGATGAGGATAAGCTGGAAAGGGTTCAGAGGAGGGTAACAAGGATGATCCAGTATCTGGAAACAAAGCCCTTTTTTAAAAAAAATTAAAGTTACTACATTTCACAAAAATCACACAATTTGTAGTACATTTAAAAAAAACCCTAGCAATAGTTTTAGCTTTACACCAAAAACCTTGCAAAAAGCTTTCAGTAATTTCAATGCTTGGAGGCCTGGATACCATTACTTCTTTATATATTTCTATTTATATCCTATATTTTTTATTTTTACCTATCAATAACTTTAAGTATCTATATGTCATTGGCAAATTGTATTTCAACCATTTTTCACTGTTCATAAATTTAAGTAAGGTTTGGTTCAGTCATCTCATACCTCCTATTACAGTAACATTTAACTTTTGATCTCATTGTTTGGCTTTTCTAGGCACACACTACCAGTTAGCTTTTTAAGATAGTTCCTTGGTTCAAGAGTAAACATTAGCATTTTCTAATCAGAAAAAGATCTTCAGAAGCAATTACTTACCTTCCTAGATTCTAACAGCTGGTGTAGCCCAACAATGACAAGCAAGCCAAGTCCACCAAGGAACATATACATAAAAATCCTTATTTAGAAAGAAAGAAAAGTATGTCCTCATTTCATTTCAGAAGAAAAATTCAAACAATACTATCTTATCAAAAAGACTTTAAATATTAAGATAACAATTTTAAAAGAGAACTGTTAAGGTCCCATTCCTGGATTGAACAGAGCCCAACTATTCACGTTATCCAATTAAAGGTAAAGCAAGGGACTCCAGTTCTATCTAGATAACCATGGCAGAATAGCCAAATGCTCATCCAGATCAATATTCACAGAAATACTCAGACAGGTGAAAAATGGAGCAAAACTGTTATATAAGTATCCTCTTAAGGTTCTTCAGACCTGACAACAATCATTTTTTTCCATTTCTCCCAGCATTTTGTTAATCAAGAACACCAAGAAAAGTTCCAACTACCACAAAATCTGCAGTGTTGTTGATAAAAGGTGTAGTTAATGGAGTTGCGTAACAGGACACATCATCATGTTTCTCACAGCCATTGTCTTTCAGTATTCTAAAATTTAATTAAACTTACGTTTCACCATCTAATCCATCTTCTTTTTCAATAATTGTAACAGTTTGGTTGAAAACAGCATCCTGGAAGAAGTTCCCCTAAGATAAAACATACACTAAGTTTAAAACCTGACACAGGTAGAAAATTCACATGCTAATGTTACTGTAGGCCTCTACTATAGTCCCTGGCTTTGCTTCTGCCTTTTTTTATTCTTGTCTACAATTCTGACACTTTGCAGATAATGAATATCACCACTGTCTTACACAACTGGATAACTTCAAGGTTTCAGGCAGCCAACACCAATTTTAAACACCTATTTGGTATGAGTATCTGATCACACCAAATGCTCAATGCAAAGTACAGTCTGGCTTGTAGTCAGAACCCAAAACAATTATGAAAACTATGAAGACAGGCAGACAACTGGAGTTTTACGCAACCATCTTCCTAGTTTTTGTTAGGGGAAAATGTGAAGGGAAAAGGCAATCTTAGACAGGTTGAGTTTGCCAAAAATGTCAAATTCTGGCCCAGATAAAACAAGCATATCAAAACATATAAAAGCACTAAAGTGTATTCTACTGGAGTTTCAAGAGAAGAGGAATCAGTAGGCAAAAACAATTTTTTAAAACGTACTACTATTTTGAATACAATACACTTATTCAAACCAAGTAAAATGTAAATCTCATTCTATAGTGTCCTCACATGACAATAGCTGATAATTTAAACAGCCAAAGGGCTATTAGGATAAGTGGAAGGGAGCATACTTCTGGCTGGTAATAAATTTGTAAATTTATTTGTAAATTTATTACCAACAAATGCTTAAATGCTTAGTTTAATAATGAAAAAGGCTTTTTTCTAAGCTGTCCTGATGCTTGAGCAAAGGACAGGGTAAAAATGTCTTATATAAATAAATAAGCCCGCTTCTTTTGAGCTTGCTAGATTGCAACTCACATTTTGGTCTTTATAATTTAGATTGATAACCAGTCCAAAAGGACGACCACCCATAGGCTCTGCAGGAATGAAGGAATATTCAAAGGTGGCTTGTCTCTGTGGTGGAACAACAGTGTTCAGAGGAAGAGCAGTGAAATTCTGAATGAAAAACTGGTAATCTTGAGGGTATCGGAAAGACGCATCTAGAGACTCTACAATGAAGTCTTCAGTACCCTTATTGGTAAAGCCTACTAAAAATTTCACAATGTTGTTCGCTGGAAAATCTGGGGAAAGAAATTGGGAAAAAGATTAAAATGCAATTTTGTACACAAATTAAAATGTTCAAGATACTGCCCTTTTAAATCTGTATAATAAAAAAAGCAAAACTGGCAAAGTGTGTTGGCCTGATGCAAAATACAACCATATTTACCTTCTCCTTTCACAAATAAGATTGTTGTATCAGCATTAGGTGATGCTTTGGGTTCTCCTGATAAGTCTTCTTCCTCCTTCTCTTCTGTCTAATACAAGAGAGTTTTTGAAAAGCCTACGATGAACAATGGAGCAACAAATGTCCTGACATTGTAAAGTCATTATCACATCAAACTATTTCCATAAAAAATATACTCCCCAACAATCATTTGGGATTTCTTAACATTTAATAGCACTAAAAAAATGATAGGTTGGAAGCAGAGATGTACTGGAAGAAGGGATTGGTGGCATGTCCTATTTCTGAGCAGTACCCTGAAAGTTCCCTGGTCCTGAAGGGAGGAAAGTCGTGTTCCATCAGCATGATACTTGTGAAAAATCTTTATTTTGGAGCAAATAATTTTTAGGGAACAGGTTAAATTCTGGTTTCCAATGCTGCTTCTATGTTTTAACAACAACATGGCCTACAATCTACCCTGAATATATTAAAAATATTACCAGGTGTTCCTGAAACAGTTAGGTATATTTACTAGGGAAAATCTATCTTGCTTAATTCAGAAAAAACAACTGAGGGCTTCAGGTACTCTGAATAGAGAAAAATGTCAAAATTCTCCTAGCACAATTCTTATGCATTAACCAATGACCTTGAGATTTAGAGGCCCTCCCTCAAACTTAGCTATAACCTGCATCACTAAATAGCTCAGGTTCTGAAAATATGTTTGATGCCCTGGTTCTGCATATTTGCTAGTTTTAAAAAGTGTCATGCTAATTTAACATGCTGGATTAATACATTTAAAAAGCCAGCCAGTAGTAGTTGGATTGAAATACCTGATTAGGAAAAGGGGAAAAATCCAGGACACTAGGGTTGCAATCCTAAACACACTTGCCTGGAATGAATCCCATCAAATGTGACTTACTTCAAAGAAGAGATGCATAAGGCTGCACTCTTAATACAAGCTTTATGAAATTACGCTTTGAATGTTGGTTTTATTTGCGCTGCAGCTAATCAAGTGAATTCATAATTCCTGTATCTGATTGATATGTATTCTTCATTTTAATTTGCCCTACTGTTTCTTCCACTATCCCACACATGGAGAAATAAGTCTCATTTCATTGATTATATTTATCCTGCATGCACTTTCCAAGGACACGTCTAAACAAAGTTAATTACGACACTGAAACTGGTACTGTATTAACTTGTTGTGTTACTTATTACTTTTATGAAATAAAATATTCTTATAGATATATTTTCATGGAAAAAGATTGTAATGGAAGGACTGCCACCCTTATTTATTAATCCCAACCTTACCAGCCACATAAAAAGTATTACAAGAACAGTCTTGCTACCCTACAGAAATAAGCATTAAAAGTTAGAGTGTCAATCTGAACACCAAGTAGAGTATCTCAGAAACACACATGCAGATTTGGCTTTTCTTTTTTGGTGTCCCTGTAAGCATCTTCCTGCTCAGCATATCAAGGAGAAAAACCAGTACTTTTGCACAACTGGAGCAGGAAAACATTACAATTCATAAACAGGTATTCTCTTCTTGTAGTGCTGCATCCATCTCTAATCCCCAACCCCATTTTGATGACTGGCTTTATTTGTTTTAAAAATGGTGGTGATAAATATTAGCTTGTGAAACATAAAATCATCTTTGCCAATCTACCAATTCTGTAGGTTCATCCTCTTCAACTTCAGCTTCTTCATCTTCATCTTCAACTACTGTATCTTCTATTGCTTCCTCATCTTCTGTGGCATCTTGAGCAGCAACTAACAAACTAGAGCCTAGAAGGAAGAAGATTGTTTATAAATATTTTCCATAAACCACTTCCAGCTTTGTGTAACGGCAATTAAAGCTTTTGTGAGCAATCAGTTTAGATAGGCATGAATATACCATGTCTACTGGGAATCAATATAGTTTGTGTAACAGCAGTATAAAAGAGCCATGAGAATCTGATGCAAAAGGAATTATCTATTTTACAGAAAAATTTCATGCAGAGCAATCCATAATTTATTGTTTATATTATAAACAGTCGACAAAGTATTTTATGTAGCATAATGCACTAGGCACCATACAAACAATATTTAAAATACATGTACATCACCTTTTAGAGTAGATGCCTCCACAAGGCAGCTTCCATAAAATAGTTATAAATCAACATAATATTATAGAAGTCATAGAACACTTAAATGTACCAATCATAAAAGTAAACATAGCAGTAAATATATTGTATTAAATCAGAATACTATTTAAAATCAGCCAAACCTTAACACCATTTAATTGACAGTTAAAATTGACGGGACCACATTATCCTTTTAAGAAAAAGCAATCTGGAATAAATAAGCACGTAATGTACGCGTAAAATCTTGTAATGAAAGAGCTATGCACATCCCTTCCCCTACAAAAGAGAGTTCTATAACAATTAGAGTCACCACTGAAAATGTTCTTTCTTGTAACCAATAATCTAAGTGCTCTTGCCAGCAGAAATAAAAGGAAGGTTTCAAGGGGCTATCTCTGTACAGGCAAGCTGATACAAACCAAAGTGGTCTTTCACACAACCTGCTTCTACACCATTTGGAGCTTTAGGTTTCAGCAATGACAAACCCCTTTCCAATAGTTTATGATCCACCAAAAGACAAAAAAGCAATATGAATAATTTTAAAGCATTCGCTTTGGAAGACTTTTTTTCTATTTATTCATTTGAACACAACCACCTAAGACTGGAGAACACTGAACCAATATCCTTAGTAACCATGTTAATTTAGTTCAGAAAGCAAGCAACCTGATATCCTCCAAATGTTGTAGACTACAGCTTCCATCACTCTGTAGTCCTCAAGTATTTGGAAGACATCCAGTTGCTTATCTCTAATCTAGCTGGGAAATAGCAGGCATCCAGGTATCTACTAGAGTAAATGCCCATGGCAAGAAGGTTGCCAAGCAGCTTATATCCAAGTCCCAAGCTCTCACTTATATAAAACACTGGGAGTTTCTCATGCCATTTTTTATATTTTCTGTAATATAAGCACAAGACACGTAAGTGACATGATTATGAGGCAGATGATGCTGTGTTTGCTAGTAATCCAAGCTTGTCTAAATGTCCCACTGAAATCAGAGGGATTTACTCACAATTGTTAACAGGAATGTAGCTTTAATCTTACAACTGTAAAATTCTCAATAGTAATAAAATTGTGTTTTCAGAAAATTGGTAAAAATTGCTTCCACCACTCCGCATTTCTCTTAAACACAGGGACAGCAAAACACACGTTTCTCTGAAAGTATTTAAACATCAGGTACAAAGTCTGAATCTCAGACCTTCTCTTTATGTTCCACCTGCATCATAAATGCAGATGGTGGACATTCTTTTTGAACTCCTTCCTTAATTGCATTGTTAGTACTGGAGGTAGGAAACAAGTAATTACTGTAAGTTCTTTTATAATTTTAAAGGCAACACAGGCTAACGCTGTGGTCAATAGCAATGACTTATATTTCTGAAGTTAACTTTGCAACCCAATAACCATTAAATAAGAATGCAACCTATTAGAGTCTAGAGTGTCCTTCAAGAAACTAAAGGTAGGAGCAAGGATTATCCCAACAGCATGCAGTTAGAAGGGTCATAGTTCAGCTGCAGAGGACATACTCTGCATGCAAAAGGCCAAAGGGTCAATCCATGGCATTTCTATGACTGGAAAAGACTCCAGTCTGCTTTCTTGGGAAGGTGGTCAACCACTGCAAGACCTGTGGTACCAGTATGGCCCTCTAGTAGTTATTAAAAATAATAATTGGGAAACCTGCTACAATCTTGCCATTGCTTAAGTTTGACATCCATCCACCCACCTTCCAAGAATGCTTCTAAAGAGGAGCGTGGTAAATTTAAGGAGCTGGGGAAGGCGGGGGCAACCATGGTTGGGTCGAGAAGGGTCATCTAAAAAGGCCTGCAGGGCCACCACCGTTGCTGCCTCCCCAGGGCAGATGCCTAAGCAAAAGGATTGCAGGCCAGCCAGTTGGAATGGGGGAGGGAGTATGAGAAAATACCCATGAGGCTATCACTGTGCACTTTCAGAGGATAAGGTTCAGGAGGGGAAAGCAGACTGGCTATGGTGGAGGAAAATTCCTGTACCTGCCACTGTCACTTCTGTCTTGTTGAAAGGACATAGCAGGGAGGTTTGGGTAACTGTAAAAAAAACAACTATCTTCACTAAGGGCACATGCAGATCTACAGCTTTCATAACTCTTCACCATTTCTAGTCACCTGCATCCTCTAAATGACCTGACAGTCTTCCGCATATGATGACTGCCTGCATGCTCTATACACAGTGCCAATTTTTTCAGTCACTCTGTTTCGGTTTTAGATTGAAATGACTTTTAAAATGAAGGGGAGCCACTCACTGCATCTGAGTCTGGAGAAAAATGCTAAGCTTCTTGTTTTGGCAAGGATGATCAACTGCTGAATTCAGCTCCAGCTCCTTTCTCCTAGTTCAAAAGTTTGGCGCTCAAGGGGGAACAAAAAAACTATTGCCAAGGTCTGAGACTAAGACCTCATTGAATGTAACTAGAGTTTCTTTTCAAGTACCATGCTTAAAGGGAGGGAGAAGGGCCTAGTGACCACAAGTCTTGGTTTGGCTATCAGAATCAACCAAAATCTGTGGTCCCTGAATGGACGATTCATGCTGTCTAAGTGGTTTAGGGCTGATAAGCAGTATTGCATATATTTCAGTTTGGAAATACTGTGTCTGAACTGGTAAATGGGGCAGATGTGCCTCATTCATTTAAGGTGAATGGAAGGGAATACCATGCCACAGTGAAACTACACTATGGCAAATGAAGTCCTTCCACAGTGCAGTACTGATAGAATTCTGTCAAGAAATCTGGCAAGTGGAGCTATGCCTGTTGGTGTCAGCACACCTATAACAAGTTACATTGTCAAGGCAGACAGTACGGCAGATAGATCTATTTCTAAAGCTAGGCATGGCACATGAAAAAGCTGCAGCAAGGGAGTTTAGGATACTTTCTTCAAATAGAAGGTAAAATTAATCCATCTATTTGAGAGGATGGGAAACAACCCACCCTTTCCCTTAAGATATACATTTCCCATCTCCTTAAGACATTAAAAATGACTTAGTAGTCTATCAAGCAAATATTACTTAGAGGTTTCACTACGTCTCAGTTCAATTGATTGCAGGAATTAAGTACAATATATTACTTTATTTTAGCTGTCTATGGGCAAGAAAAAAATAGAACAGGTCCCTTGCATTAAAATAATATAAAATAAATGTAAAATTAAACAATGCAATGAGTATAAGCACAGAAATTCTTGGAAGAAAATTTGAAGAATCTTTATTTCTCACTTTGCTATTTTAAAGATATCTGGCCACATATGGGGTAGCAGATACCTTAATACTTTCCCTTTAAAGCAAATACAACTGAGGTATCTTAGTATAGCAGGCTACTCAAAAGTTTTCCAAACAAAAGCATCTTTTCTAACTTTCCTGATCTCTCTTATACATTTTAGAAAGAATGATGATGTGGCATCATACTGGAGGGGAAGGAGTGTATTTAGAATCCATCAAGGCAGCCCCAGGGATTTATAGTAGTACTTTCCTTCAGTTGTCTTGAACAAGTAATAATGAATAGCAGGTACTATACTGATTTGTTTGCCCATTAAAGACCACACTCAAGGTTGAGTATAGGATCAGTATGCTAAGAAACCATGGGTTCTTAACCCACATTTCACAACCCAACAACAACAACAAACTACAACCAACTCATACTGAAATTTCATTGCGAGTTGTCTTGCATTGGGACAAAAACTGCCAGTATTAAGTATGAACTTTCCAACATTAATTTCTAAACAATTATTTTGTGTGATTATAGATAAGGAAGTGCAGTGATATTTGTGGAACTTGTTCTACAATTTGCAGTCAGAATAACTTGCTGTGCAAAGTAATTGGAAAATAATGAACAAACACTCAAGCATGAACTGCTGTTTTACATGAATCAATGAAATGAATTCAATTTGTATAGAATACATGCACAAATGCTTCCCAACAAAGTAAGAGTTCCACATCAGCAGTATTTACGATAGAATTTGATCAGAAGGAATACTTCATTTCAACAAAAAGCAGTAACAGAAGGCACAAAATAAGAATATGAAACATCAAGTAAGAAATACCTAATTAAGTAGTAGGCAATCACAAAATATGACTCATTATATGACCACAAATAAGTACATAAAATCACCTACAACAACACCAGGACTCAAGTGGATAACCCTAAAGTTAACTAGCTATAAAAGTAACCTGAAAATACTGGTAAACTTAAGTGATATCCACGTACTTTCTATCAGAAAGAAAATCCATCAAACCAAATGATCTCTTCACATAGGATGAACAAATAGACAAGGCAAATACAGTGTAAGTGTAAAGTGTTCCTTCACCTGATTGGGATGTGAGTGACAGGGAAAGGAGCAGCTTGGCCAGGTCCCCTTCTCTATGCAAACAGATGCACTGAGTTGTTTGGTTTTTTTTTTTTTTAAATAAAGTAGACCGGAAAGTAAAGAGCAGACCAGATTTGTATATGAAGCTTGTACCTGCACATTATCTGGCCTGCTGGTTTTGTCCAGAGTGGTTTTCCTCTACTTCCATATTAAATATTTGGGTCTTGCAGTAAAACCGCCAGGAGATTCAGGACAAACAAAAGGAAATAAGTACATCTACATGCTTATGGAATTCATGCATAGAAATGTGGTAAAGGGCAATGTTCAGGTTGTTTTCAAAGTGGTTTAGATAAATGTAAGGAAAATAAAACTACTTAGCAATATACTATCAGATGTCAGTTTTTGGGAAGCAACAACAGGAGAAGGCTATTGCCCTCATGCAGCACTCATGGGCTTCCCATAGCAAAGTTCACTGTGGGAAACAGAATGTTGGATAAGAAGGCCTGATCAAACAGAGCCTTTGCTTATGTCATATGATATAATGGACAATTCATGGTATGAACATTCAAAGAATATTTCCTGGTATCAGATACGGTGTATTCGACGCCATCCTATCATAAACAAATGGATACAATCTTTTTCCCAGTCTTGATGTGCACCTTCTCATGCTATTAATGATGCAGATTTACCATGAGGTCATGAACAAGGTATTGGGTAGAAGAGCTTCTGATCTATCTCCATATAGAACACATAGGTTTTATGGGATTCATGGATGAAATGGCCAATTATTTTGACAAATGTTTGTTTTTTGTAATTCCTATATTGCACATAAGATGGAGTTGTGGATATATGTTTAACGCCATAGCTCTGTCAGAAGTAGGCTGCAGCAGTCTGTGAAGTCTGATGTAACATGAGTCTAAGTAAAAAACTTGTACTTTTCAAATGCATAATGCTGGCCAAGACCACCATCTGTATCATTGTACCTTGGCTAGCATGTGTAAAGCTTGCTTAGACAGTAAAGTGGACCAGTTGCTGAAACCATATACACTGTACGTAGTCATTAAAACTGTAACGTACAATTCCCTCACTTCTATTCTGTACTGGTTCATTCTGATCAGAGTCAACTGCTTTCTCCTCTGCTCATACACTAACGTAGATTAGAAACATTACTAGAAATTTGAAAGGTCAATAAGTCATGCTTTTACCAACTAAAAATCATTCAAGAAGGGTGAGAACTATATTAAACTCTTGTGTATGTACTTTCGCTTGAAGCAAAAATAACAGAACAAAAGCTGTTGTACTTTAGGCACATCACCAGAAAGCAAGACTCACAAGAAAATACTGCTAGAGAAATTTGAAGGCAAAAGAAGCAAGGGACCAACTATGATTCAGATGTATTCCATGAATGAAGCTGCACCCCTGAATTTACAAGAGCTTAACAGGGCTGTCGAGGACAGGACTTTCTGAGGGGCATTCATTCAAAAGGCTTGAATGAAGGTCAAAGACTACTTCACAGCACATAACAAACTTATCTCTTGGCAACTATGCAACACAAGATCAAATCTAGCAGGTTAAAAAATTGTCACAGTTACATAATCAGCCTCCCATCTCTAGGCAGGTGAGAGGGAGGGGGGATGTACTCCCTTGCTATGCTCTATTACTAAAGTAACAAATAAATTAAAAAATTGTGAGGAGCTATACAAGCCACTGTCAGCAAACATGCTTAAGAAAGCATAGTATTAATGAATTTTTTGGTTCATGTATTAAGAATTGAACATTGAGTGCAGAACCACAAATATGCTCTAAGTCATCAGAATGCTATGTAGTACATTGGACCTTACTTCAGCAATCTCTCATAATCTTACCTACCACTGAGCATACCTGGCACATCAGCTGCAAGCATATACAGCACTATTTTGATTTTTCAGATGAAACAGCTACAGTATTTCTACTAGATACTGAAAGCAGTTTTAAAGACCAATGGTGTTCAGGTTCCAGAATTTAAGATAAATCATTCCACAACAGATTTCACATATCTGGCAAAATTAGCTCCAGTTAAGCAGTTACTGCAGTATTTCAAGGAAATGTGATTGAAGCAAACCCTTCAACCCAGCAAGTTAGTTCTGACTTTCTTCTCTATCATGAATATGAAAGAAAATAAGCTAAGTTGTATTTTATAACAATCCAGCAAGTTGCACTCCATTATCATGACGACCATTTGAATCCTACGCTTCCGTTACGTCCTGCATTTTAACGGTGCAGTTCTCGCTCGTAAGAAAAAAAACCCCCTAGCTTTCCTTTGCAAAGCCAGTGCTGCAACTAGGTTGATCCGTAAGCCTTCAGGTGGGATCAGAGCACAAAACGGAGCCATTGCAGCAGGTTAGGAGGAACTGCACGCGATTTTGCAAAGGAAGAAAGAAGTAATCACAGCAGCATCGGGCTCTTGGGCAACAATTGCCACTTTGAGGCACTGACTGCAGCAAGGGTTTGATTTTTCCCCTTGGGTTCCACGGAAGGCAGCGTACCCGCCAGGAAACCCTTACACGTTATATACCCCCAATTCTCAGAAAAAGTTTTAACATGAATGAATGAACGAACGAACAAATGAAGTTACACGACACCGTATGGGGAAGCGCGTTAGGGCGGGAGGAGAGACCGGTATCGGCGAACTGAACTGACACGTCAGCCCCGAGGGGAGGAGGGAGCGAGGAGTAACAGCAGCAGCGCAGCCCCCGCTCTGGTAAAGCAACAGGGACAGGCAGGAACCGAAGCAGAGCCAGGACTCCTCCCGTCCCCGGCAACGCACCCACCGCGAGGACTCGCCTCACGCGCTCCAGTCCATTTCAAAATTGTAACGCCCCCCACCGGCAGCAACCGCCATCCATACACGCGACGAGTACGGCGAAGCCTCACCCGGGCCACTTCGGCCGCCGCTGAGAAGCAACGCGGCGGGGAAGGCCAGGAGCACGAGCAGCAGCAGCTGGGGTAGCGATTGTCTCATGGTAGCAGGCCAACTAGCGCCCTCGGCGGCAGTTACCACTTTTTCCTGCCGCTACGCAATGGCGAGAGGTTCCCATCCGGCCGACGGCCCGCCTCCGTAACCCCACGACGCCGTGACGTCACCACTCTACCACGCAGACCCAGTGACTCCCGCCCCCTGTATAAGAGACGTGGCTTCCCCTGGAAGGAGAAAGGAGGGTCATGTGATCTAGAGTCCTCCCAGACGTCCTCCCAGAACGTTGGCGGTCAACTTTTTGTGCGCATGCGTAAGTACTTCAGCCGACTTATCTCGGCTGTTTTTATAACAGGCCGCTCTTTCCTTCCCCGCCGCATGCCTGGGGCGCATGCGCACATCTTGATGCCACAACGTTCTCCAGGCACGCGTGTAAGCCTAAGTTAATGTGAGCTGAGGTAGAAACTGTTCCTCCGTTTCTTCAGCGATTCACGATAAATTCTTAAACATAAGAAGTTGTCTTTGCTCTTCACCTGATGAGTAGGTGAGGTTCACTGGTAGTGCAGCTCAGCAAAGGGTTGGAAACTTTTCTAACAACAGCGGGGTAAATAAGGCCTAAGGCGGGTACAAGTTTCTAGTTTTTTATTAATATTCACTAAAGTTTTTATTAATATTCACCAACAAGGCTGGCAGTTTCCACGGTGAGGAAATGCCCTGCATCTCAAAATAATATGACTGGAGTTTTCTCTTTTCCTCAGTTTCCTCAATTTCCTTTTACAAATGAATTTGCAGTCTAGTAAAAATGTAGGGTGGAACAACACGGATTGCTTCTATTGCTTCTCCTGCCCTAAAATTGGATGACTGAAAATGTCTTAAGTTTGAGTGTTCCAAACACTGAGGCGGGTATCAGTAGGCTTATGCCTGAACACGTCTGAAAGTGCAATATGAGATTTAAAAATCTGTGGGTGTGAGCACCACTTGTGTGGTGAGCAGTGTGCTTGACACTTCTTTGTGCTCAAAACACCGGGCTGGGCATGATTGTGGGAAGTCTTGTAGAAAAGAAGTGGGCAAAGGCAGATGCTTTGAACTTTAATATCAAGCATCCTCTTCCAGCATGGGCAAATGTCAGGAATGCTGGAAGCTGAAGGCCAAAACATCTGCAGAACTACTTTTTGCCCACCCTATTTTAGGTAACACACTGGAAGTTGTGTGTGTATGATCTGTCGTTAGTTAAAACACACCGTGGGGTGTGCACACCAGTTCTTGAGTGCAATATGTTATCCAATGCATGTAGTGCATGTAAACAATTACTGGGTTTTTTTAAAATAGAGTACAGAAAGGAAGAAGAATGTAAAAGGAATGCCAAGTGTTCTTACACAAATATATTCATTCATAACCTGCAGATTTCCAAAAACTCCCAATTTTTCTATTTTTCTGTCAATAAGTACTTTGTTGAAGCTCACAGAGAAAATAATTATCATTCTCTAAACACATTTTCTAATCACTTTAAATAATTATAAATCATTACCAGTAAATCATTTAATGACCTTTCTTCTCTATTAAACTCTGTATAATAGAATTTACATTTATCATTAATTTCCTCAGTTAGTTTTGCCATGGCTGCATACTCAGCCAACTTATTTTTCTTCAATTGTTAGGCATTCTGCTATTTTCCATTTAGAAACCATTGTAATTCTTGCCGCAGTTGTCATATATTTGAATAACTCTAACATGTTCTTTGAGAGAACCTCTGGCAGAAGCATATTCTTAAGACTCATAGGAAAGTTGATGTTAAGGGGGTTTTTTTAATTTCCAGAAAACAACAATTTTGATTGAGGATAATTCTTGTGGACCTAAAGAGGACAGTTACTCACTTAAGGAAATACAATGTGGGGTACACAGACATACATTTCAGTTCTTTATTGGAGCTCTGTTTTACACTTTGGAAGGAACTAGAAAAGAGGAACTGAGAATGAGAAACCACCTTCAGCCTTGTAATGGGCAACTTACAGAGTTACAATGTTGTGAGCTGTCCAGAGATGCAGAGTGATTGGTTGGCCTAGAAATATCCCAAATAACATATAAATAACTAAATAACTAAAGCTTCCTCTTAGTTCTTAGGTGATTAAGAAGTTAAGCTATATAGTAAAACCAGCAAAAACATCAAGTTGCATCTGATGCGCATGCACTCTTGCTTTTGAATATACTGATCCATGAATATCTTACTCAGAAGTACCACTGAATTCAGTGAGACAAATAACTATAGCTCCCAAACTATTTACATGGTCACTTGAGTGCATGTATAGAAAAATTAATGCAGTTGCTGCCTTAAGATGTCAACTTGTGTGTGCTTACTTGGAAGTATCCCAATTAAACAAGTCTTACTGAATAACTGTGACTATAATCAATTGCAGCACTGCAATTTTAAGTATGTTTATGAAGGAGCAGAATATGTTGAGTTCAGTGGGGCATTTTCAAAGTTAATATGCATAGTAACCTAACTGTTTCATAATAGTCGAGTTTGGCACAGGTCCTAAATTTTTTATCTTGCACTGGAATTTATGTGGCACCACAAACTATTCAGGTAACCAGACTGCAGTTTGGGAAGAAGTTCTTAGTGCGTGGAAAGAAAGAGACACAACACTTAAAATGTGCTTTGCTAGGCTAAGGATCAGCATTTTGGGGGTCACACAGGGTCGATTTTCTCATCCTGAATTTAAATAATGCGTGAAGGAGAAAACAGGAATAAATATAATGCAGGTAGCACTATTTAACTGTTTAATCATCACTATTCAGAATTCACTATTTAATAAGCAGAAAACTAATTTGCACATGCACACACACATACAGAAGAAAATGAACAGTATTTATACTTTTTATCAACTTTAATATGTCATTTGTAAACACACTTTGCTGCTATGGCACTGACAATCACATTCAGTATATTTAATTGTCTGTTCCTTAGTAACTAGATGGTTTCCACCTATTTGAAATTCCTGAAAACAGAAGAAAAAAGATTACATTTCCACAATTTCCATCAAAGTTTAAAGTTACCAATAGTGTATGTTTATGTGTTCAGTGGGGCTTACTTCTAGGATAATGTGCATAGGATTGCAGCCTTACTGTGATTTCATAAATAATTTTGATATGTAATGCTGAAAATCATAGACTGAGATGACAGTAACTTTAGGGAGCAATTCCATGAGTGTTTGACAGAAATCCGTCCTACAGCTCCTAGCATTCCCCAACCAGCAGACACATAACTCACAATAATGCTTACACATATCTGTTTACTGTATTTATGCATATTTGACAAACAGTACAAATGCATGTTATATGGTAGTTTCCCTTAAAATATAAGAATAAAAAAATTAATTATTTATTTAATATTGCAACAGTGCAGTGGATTAGGAATTAAAAACCCAGTCTGCAGCTAAATTATGTAAATGTAGTCAGACATGGAGGCCCAAAATACTCGTCCCTCATTGCCTGCTAGCAAAACCTATTGTTAAAGATGTCACTCATTTATTCACTTCTCTTGCCTCTGAGTTGGCAAAGTAAGAGGCTTTTTAGGGAGCAAGGTTTGACACCGGGCTTCTAGTTGTTAATCCCTATTTAAAGTAAAGTATTTTGGCTTACCCCCTGAATCAGCATTTGTGAACAAAATGAAGACCATCTTTTTCTGTGGAAATATAAATAAAGTACTCTGACAAAGAGGGCTTAATGCTATTTTATTTGAACAAATCCTAAAAAAGCTTAGGACTGGACACACAACAAGAGAATAAGAAATAGACAATACTTTTCCTGTCTACCATTTGCTCACTTCAATGAATCCAAATGGCACTTTTTCTCTATAAGTGTCACTTGAGAGCTTCCCCCATTAGGAACTGGAAAAGAGGGAGAAGTCCATAGTGTGCCTTGGAGCAGGAAAGAATAGGTGGAGAAGGGGTTAAACTCCTACATACTCCTCTTCCAACCCTGCTTTGATTTTACAAACATTTGTGTGCCATTTTGCATAATCTTCCCACAGAATGGATATAACCCTATGAGATACATATATACACTGCAACCTTTAACAAATGTAGACATTTATAATGCTTTACTCACATGACAATTGGAACCTGATTTGGATTGGCATGAGATTGATGCAACCAGCTACTTTACCATGCAATCATTTTGTTGTTGCAATAGGAGCATTAAGTTAATTGACCCACTTCACATGGAATGGTAATTTCTTGATTGTTCAGTCCAGGAATTGCAATGATTGAGCAGTAGCAAGCTCCTAAATAACAGTGTTTGTTTAACCCCCATACAACCCAGAGTTATTGGATTTGGGTATGAAAATAACGAAGAGGAAGTAATGAGCATGCTGGAAGCAGTGTTCTTGCTTCCATTTGGCCATGGCAATTCTAGAGTCACACATATTTTATTTAGGAATTCAGATTGTTAAGGCTTGTTGAACATTTTGTGGGTGGGACCCAACAGACAAATATGAGTGCGACTGGACTCTGTAATCTCACCACATGAAACAAAAGGGTCTTCCATCGTGAGTTGCCAGGAACAACAAAGAATTGCTAACGCATTTTCATAACTAAGAGCTGTTTAACTTCTCTCAGTACTGATCTTGATACTTATTTTGATGGCACATTTCAACATAATTTTAGAGTAGGTAGAGAGATCACAGTCTATTTTAGTACTGAAGACTGCGTGCTATGCGATTAACAGTGCCAAAAACTAACAAAAACACTGTTGTACATTCCATACAAATACATTGTAAGAGACATTTCTGCTTATTGGTTTTCTTGGTAATAGCCCAAAGAGGAATACTGGGATTTTCTCATAGGTACTGAGCGCTACATAGCACATTATGAAAAATGTGTGGCTAATGGCCAAAAACAGCCCTGTGTCTCCTCACCTTGTCTGCCTAGTAACTTCTCATTAGAGAAGAGACAGGATAGATGACACTGTTCTCAGATTTCTCTTACTACTGATCAGAAGTGGCATCCAATGAAGTAGAATGGGAAAACAAACTTCAGCCATGTTATAGCACACATCTTCTTTACTTAAATGCTACCAAAGAGGAGATATGAGGAGAAGGCCACATGCTTCTAATTAATGCATTAGTTGGGTCTCAAGGGTACTATTTTTAATACATCAACAT